ACTCTTCCTGCAAGATCCAGCAACTAGAGCAACCACCAAGAAAGTCACTGATAAATATACACTGTGTGTGTCTAGCAAAAAAGAGGCACTGTAATGGTATGATTGAAATATATTTAAACCAAAATAAAGGACCAGAACAAGAAAACACACATAAAGCCTGAACATGAATGTCCACAGCAGCATTATTCATAAGAGTCAAAAAGGAGAAACAGCCCAATGGCCTCAATTGATGAATAAATAAAATGTGGTACATACATACAACGGAATATGATTCTGCAATAAAAATGAACCACTGACAGATGCTACAGATGAATGAACCTGGGAAGAAGTACACAAAATGAAGCAAGATAATGAGAGAACATGTCCATCCACACGAAATGTCCAGCAGAGGCAGGTCTGTACAGACAGAAGCTAGGGGTTGGAGAGGGCCACCGTCGGGCAAAACCTAGGAGTGACCAGATAGACACAAGGCTTCTGTTTGGGACAATAAAGGTGTTTCTGCAGTGACTGTGGCGAGGGTTGCACAACTCTACGAATATATTAAAAGCTACTGAATTGTACACTTTAAGTGGGTGAGCTGTACAGTGTGAGTTTTACCTCAAAGCTGAATTTAAAATTTTTTAATTAAAAATTTTTTTTTTTTTTTGAGATGGAGTCTCACTCTGTCGCCCAGACTGGAGTGCAGTGGCTGCTCCCGGCCACCGCAGCCTCGACCTGCTGGGCTCCGGCGATCCTTCTGCCTCAGCCTTCCGAGTAGCTGGAATTATAGGCACGTGCTACCACGCCCGGCTGATTTTTTGATTTATTGTAGAGATGAGGTCTCTTTGCCCAGGTGGGTCTCGAACCCGCGGGCTCAGGCAATCCACTCACCTCAGCCTCCCAAAGGCGCGGGATTACAGGCTGAGCCCGAGCCCGGCTTAATTTAAAATTTAAAAAGGATTCCATCTCTCATCGAACAGGCATTAGCTCTTATCAATGACTTTATGTGCCAGTAATTGTTCGAAGCGCTTGGAATGAAGTCATTTATTAACCTTCAAAAGAACTCCAAAAGGTAGTAGCATATACTTGGTTTACAATGGAAACCGAGACTTTGAGACAAACCGACTTCCCCCAAAAGCTAGGCAGTGGAGGAATGAAATGCCAAACTTGGATCGCAATCATCATCATACTTACCTCCATCAGAAAAAACAGAACATCTCACTAAGGTGACAATTTAACTTCAGAGCTAAAAGGATGGCATTCTCTCTTTCCTGGAGTAAAAGTTACTTATCAGGTCAAGAAGCTCCTCTGGTGAAGCCCAGATGAAAGTTCTCCATTCAGATGGGCATTACTAAGTTTCACCCCGGGTAGCTCTCCCTTGACTCGATTCTCTGGGTTCTAGGAGACATCAGGATCCCAGGAGAACTCCAGGCTTGCTCCAAGAAATGAGAGGAACCTTAAAGGAGCCAAAACGAGGGCACTGCCAAAGTTGCCCTCGGATCCCAGCTCTGTGCTCTCCAACACCACAGCCATGGCTACGTGTGGCTGTCAAGCCCTTGGACGTGGCCAGTTCAAGAGATGTGCCAAAGTGACATGCACAGTCACCTGAAGACCTAGTACAAAAGAACGTGAAATACCATTGTATTAAAATACTAATATCTTAGATATTTTGGGCTAAATAAAATATTTTATTACAAATATTTTACCTTTTCACCTTTTTAGTGTGGTGACTAGAATATTTACAATCATATCCTACCGGGCACAGTGGCTCACGCCTGTAATCCCAACACTTTGGGAGGCGGAGACGAGAGGACTATCTGAATCTAAGAGTTCAAGACCATCCTGGGATACTTGGCGGGACCTTGTCTCTATGCATCTATGGTTCCAGCTACTTGGAAGGCTGAGGTGGAAGGATCGCCTGAGCCTAGCAGGTCGAGGCTGCCATGAGCTTGGCCCTGCATTCCAGCCTGGGTGACAGAGTGAGATTCCAACTCAAAAAGAAAAAAATAAAATCATATCCTGTGGCTTGTGCTTCGATTAGGCAATGCCATTCCTGACCACTGTGCCACTCCAGGTGCCAGCTCCCTGTGGGCTCTCACCTCGGGAGTGGCACCACCACTGGCCAACTGAGTTCAGAGGTCACAGATCTGGAACCTTCAGAACTCACCTGTGACAGATTGGCCTCACCCTCCACTACAAACAGCTTCTGAAATGAGGATGAGGTTGGGTGTGCTGGCTCACGCCGGTAATCCAAGCACCTCTGGGAGGCCGAGGCGGAAGGATCACTTGTGCCCAGGAGTTAAAGACCAGCCTGGACAACATAGCAAGACCTCATCTCTACAAAACATTGAAAAATTAGCTGGGTGTGGTGGCATGCACCTGCAGTACCAGTTTCCCAGGAGGTTGAGGCAGAAGGATTACCTGAGCCCAGAAGATCGAGGCTGCACTGACCTGTGATCGTGCCACTGCACTCAAGCCTGAGTGAGACACTGACCCCCCCCAAAAAAAAACAAGTGAAATGAGAATAAGCATTACTCTTTGATTTGAAACTCAGGTTGGGATACCCGCAAACTTGGGAACTCTCTTAAACGTAGTTTTCTCTGCATCAAGTGGACACTCGGGGATCTTACTGCCACTGGGCTGAAGCTGACAGAGATGCAGCCAGTCAGGACTTCAGTTCCTTGAAATGGTTCGGTTTCCCACTGCAGAGCAGAGATGGTTCTCAGGGATTCGACCCAACAGAATGGGGTTTCAACGCTGAAGGTGTCTTACTCCTCAGTCTGCAAAATGCATTGTCCAGATACCAGGGTTGCCTTTCCAGGGAGGACTCATCCTTCCCTCCCTGGATCCTGTCTCTGCCCCACCGCCCACACGAACCATGCGTGCATCTGTGTCGAAGGATCAAACAGATGTTTACTTGCTGAGGCCAACTTGGGCACATGTGAATGCCAGGCTACACTGGAGTGTTTTGTTACCCTGCAATTCACCCAGGCACTAAAATAGCAAAGACACCGAACCCTATGTTAAAAGCCTTGTCTGATGACTGGGTTCGTGGAGAGTGAAGGCTGACGCAATCCTAAATCTGTCTGCATCAGTTTCTGGGTGTGACAGGAAGCAAGCAGAGCCAAGCGTTTGAGAAGTCTCAAGAATTTGTCATGGCACCAGTGGAGTCTCCTCAAATAAAAGTTAACCTTTTAAAAAGAGAAATCCAAAATTACCTTTTCTATGAAACCTGCCTGTATCCATTGGATTTTCTCATCAAAAGTCACAACATGGCATTCCTGGCACTTCTTACAGCCAGCTTTAAGAGTATCCTCCCAGAGACAACAAAACCCCAACCTGAGGACCAGGGGGTCCTGGCTGGCTCAGCCACTCACCAGTTGTGTCCAGGACCAAGTGCCTTACCTCTTCAGGCCAGTCTCATGCCATCACTGGCAGCTTAAGGTGCTTTGCTAGAGCCAACACCAGCAGTGCCGGCTGCCATCAGCACTTGCAGGACCCCACTATGGTCTCCCTTGCCCACTGTGCTCCTCTGTGGCATTCCTCCATCTGTCTGCCTGTCGGTCCCACCAGGTCAGAAGCACCCAGAGTGGAGGAGGGTCTTACTCACCTGTTTCCCATTCTCCCATCCCTTCCACTGGTGCCCACCAGGAACTGGCCCATGGCGGGAGCTCAGAATGGTTTGACCAAGAATATAAGTCCTTTATGAGAAGCTCTAGTGGAAACCAAACTGAGCAGATTTTACTCAAATCGAAGCAATTTTTTTTCTCCTTGGATGCCTCCCAGAGGCAAACCTTTCCCAAACACCAACCTGGCAGCACACCCTGGGCTCCTCAGATTAGTCATTGATCACAAGTACTGGCACGTGGGTCACGTTTTTAAAAAGTTGTTTTCTTATCCAACTTTTCACCAGCAAGATCACATTTAAAACAACTTTAACGAAGAATCTTTAATCAAAATCAACCTCTGGAGAATACTGCTTGCTATATGCCTGACCAACGCAAAGCAGGTGTGTTGCTTTCTTCGAGAGAAAACCGAACATCAGTACTCAAAGGAACTGCAGCTCAGCCACAGATGTGAATGCTGTGAAACCCGTAGAAAATGTACACATGATGTGATGCACACAGGTGGTTTTCAGAAATTCATTGCCAAATCTAATCCATGCCACAAGAGCTTTGAAGAACTTCAGAAATCAGTTCTCTCAAGATTTCTCAGCTAAGAGCGTGTCTATGCAAAAAGTGTCACCCAAACCAGATTAGTCTTGACGAAAAATAAAACACTCCACACAACACGTTTCCCAACAACGTGTAAGGAAAAGAGCCCCCTGAGAGAAGGATGAATTCCAAAAGAAATAATCCTCTTCAATGCTCCCTTAATGACTTTTATTCTGCAACCTGATTTGGCAGGAACTTAGATGCCAACAACTTTGATAATTAAAGTCCAAGCTTCACAACACAGGGTGAGATGAGGGGAATGGCAGATCGAGTACTATGCAAAGTTAGCAGGGAAAATCAGGGCTTCGACACAAAGACCCTTGAAGAACAGGATAGATTCCTGAGTCTCATATAGAATCACCACCGAGCTGGTCATGGCCTTTCCCCTTCCTGTCCATGAGGCTATTTTTTAGACAGTTTGCTGCTTATTAAGAAGACTGTCTGAAAATTAGAGTGGGGCAACAAAGGAAATTCAGATGACCTGTTTTACTGCATATCAGCTTCCGTGAGTAAAGGTTTGACCAATATAAAACAAAGATAATTGTGACTTTTATTCAGCTGTGTTACCTTCCATTAAAAAAAAAATAACACCTTGCTGTACACAGAAAGGTCTCTAGGGTATTTCCTTTGCTGACTGACATCTGGAAGATAAGCTGTCCCAGAAATAAAGGCTGTATTTACCTAGTCCTTGGTTCAGGATTTCTTGAGTAATCCACCCCTTAGCAAAGATCTCATGTAAACTGGGTGAGCAAAACTGATTCCCATCTTATTGCAAATTCTCCAAGAAAGACAGAGTCAAAATGGCACCACAATGTTTTATTTAGCCTGCAAACAAAATGAACAGGTGAGGACTTCTGAAGCCGAACCATGCAGGTAATAATAAAGGGACACCAAAAGGTATTAACAGCAAAAAGAAAACCAGTTAACAAAAAAAAAAACAGAAAAAAGTGTTTCACATTTCACAGCAGTCCTTTGGCAGTACTGGTAGGTGTTTCTGCTTCCAACAGCAGGGATGTGAAGAAAGCCCCTGGTTTTAGCAAAAGGACAACCACATTTCTCCCTGGTAGCTGACATTTCAAGTCACTCCACACCATACTGCTCCACGCAGCAGGCTTCTGTAAGCCTGATCCCGTGGGAGACCCTTAAACACCAATAACAAGAGGGACAGTGCAGACAAGTAAACAAAGTTTCCAGTAAGGCATCAGGAGACGTTGCTGGCTGGGCCTTTCATTTCACCAGCTCCAAGAAAAGTTTTGATTTTCATTTTCCAGCAAGCCCAATAATTCAGAAGCTTAACCAGCAGGCTCAAGTCAAAGGATTGGAAGACAGTCCCACCTCTTTTTTTTTTTTTTTTTGGTAAATGTTTCATATAAAACATGAAATAAAGTTCTACTTTATAAAAAAAACTGAATATCTTAATAGTAAAAATATATGTTTGTATTTCTTTTTAAAAAGATATTTAACAACAATGCTTCAGAAGACTTAACTTAACCCCGTCCCCACCGCCTGCCAGTTGTCCACCTGGCACAGATACATTAAGGCAAAGGATCCCAAAGAGGCATGTCCACCTCGGCCCTGGGCTGGAGATCAAGCCGAACACACGCCGCTCCTTGCAGGTCAACAGAAAGGCTTTTCTCTCATGTTCACCGAGCCATCCTGCATCCCAAAGTAGACTCTCTCGGCCATGTTGATGAACAGGCCTGTGTCCACCACACCTGCAAGACAGATGACAAAGCATTAAGATGCAGCTTCCTAAAGCAAAAAGAGAACCAAGAATCACAGAGTCACCAGAAGCAACTGTCATAACGACAGTTATGGCAAACGACAAATCTAAAGCCTTCCTCTTCTCCAGAGCAATGAAAATCGATTCCGATTATCTTTATTTTTTCTTGCCTCCCTTTCTCCCCTCCCACCTTGGCTTTCGAAGAAGCATGCATGGCCAAGCTTTGCCCGGCCTCAGGCCTTTGCTCATGCTGTTCCCTTTGTGTGGAACAGCCACCTTCTCATGTTCAAGCTCTTCAAGGGGCTGGTTCTTCTCTGTCCTTACAACAGAGCAGGTGGCAAGTCACTTTCTTTTTTCTTTTTTTTTTTTTTTGAGTCAGACTCAGTCTCACTCTGTCGCCCAGGCAAGAGTGCAGAAGCACGCTCACAGCCACTGCAGCCTTGACCTGCTGGGCTCAGGAGATCCTTCGGCCTCAGTCTTCCAATTAGTTGGAACCACAGGCGTGCATCATCACACCCAGCTAATTTTTTTATTAATCTCTTGTAGAGTTGAGGTCTCGCCAATTGCCCAGGCTGGTCTCAAACCTGTGGGCTCTGGTAATCCTCTCACCTCTACCTCCCAAAGTGCTGGGATTACAGGCATGAGCCACAGTGCCCGGCCAGCAAGTCACTTTATAAAGACCCTCCATAACTACTCTAAGAAGCCCCCTCTCAATCATACTACCAGCCTTGAGAGATTCCTGAACAGAGCAGGAAGAGACACTGGAAAGCTATATATGTGATAAAGAGCCCACATCAAAAAATAGAAACAACTCCTCAAATAATTAAGAAAAAGACAGACAATCCAACAGAAAAACAGGCCAAAGACTTGAACAGGTACTTCACAAAAGAGGCTACTGAAATGGCCAACAAACATTTTTTTAAAAGGTACTCCAAAGCTGAAAGGGAATGCAAATTAAAGCTATGAGTTACCACTACACACCAGAATGAAACTTGCAAGGATGCAGACACTCATACACACTATGGTGGCAGATGTGTTGGCAAAACCATCTTGAAAACATTTGTGAGGACATTTTCCAAAGCAGAATATATTCACACCCAACCACTCAGCAACCCGACTGCTACATATACAGCTGTATATACATATACAGTTAGGCACACATATGGCCATCCACAAAACGTATATGATATCAATAGTTGTACTTTTCTTAATAGCTAAAAACTGAGAATACCCAAATGCCCATCAAGAATAGAATGGATATATAAATTAGTCATATACACAGACAATGGAATACTATTTAGCAATGAGAACTAACAACCACCGGCAACCTTTTCCAAAAATATTTACATATACACACACACTACAATGAAATAACACAGGTCAACTATCAGAAAAAAGATGTGATGAACCCAGTGTGCAGGGAAATAGATACCTGCATATGTTGCTGACAGAAAGGTAAATTGGTACAAACTGCAGAGGGCAATTTGGTACCATCTAGCAAAAAGCCACAGATAACTTATCCCTTTACTCAGTAATCCCTTCTAGCAAAGGACTGGAACTATAAATGACGACAATATGGCCAAGTAAATTATGTGGTATAGCCATACAATGGCAATTGTTCAGGAAAAAAGAAAAGAACAAGGAAGCTCTTTTGTGAGCCAACATGTAATAATGCCCAAGTTGGGAAAAGCAGGAAACAGATACGCGTATACATAGTATGTTGTCACTTGTATGAAAAGGGGTGGTGTGTTTCCATTTGTGTGTTTATGAAAGACCCTCTTGGCTAGGCATGTTGGCTCATGCTTATAATCCCAGCACTTTGGGAGGCCGAGAGGCCTGACTGAGCCCACGGGTTTGAGAGCCGCCCGGGGAACTTGGTGAGACCTCGTCTCTACAATATATCAAAAGATCAGCCGGGTGCGGTAATGCATGCCCGTAGTTCCAGCTGCTTGGAAGGCTGAGGCGGAAGGATCGCCAGAGCCCAGCAGGTCGAGGCTGCGGTGGCCGGGAGCAACCACTGCACTCCAGTCGGGGAGACCGAGTGAGACTCCAACTCAAAAAAAAATAAAATAAAAATAAAAAAAGAGAGAGTGAGACCTTCTCCAAAGACCACACAACTCTGGTAACATCGGCTGCCTCCAGATACGTAACAGTCGCCTGGAAAGGAGGAAGGAGGCTTGCCACTCTTTACTTGTCACTGTGAATTACATAAAGCCAAACGGCTACACAAAACTATAACTTCCGAAGACGGCTCCGAGTAAACACAATGCAGCAGCGACTCATCTACTGGGAGGAAGAGCTGGCAGAGAGCGAGAAGCTGCTGAAGCACAGAGGTCCCGGGCACCAAACTATGCCTGCCTACTGGAGCTTCCCAAAGCCGAGCAGAGCAGCCACTCCAGGCCATCGTTCTCAAACTTTCTGAAACGCAAAGAGATAGCGTCCCTCTGACAAAAAGAGACAGTTCAACTGGGCTAAGGAAGGGCTCCAAAGTAGGAGCAGAGAGGAATGCACAGCAGTCTGAAGTGTGATCTTAGAGCAGCCACTCTTAGAGTTACTGAGATTCTAAGGCTGAGTGAGGTGGTTCACACCTGAACCCCAGCATTTTGGGAGGTCGAGATGAGAGGACTGCCTGAGCCCACGGGTTCGAGACCAGCCTAGGCAACTTAGGGAGACCCTGTCTCTACAGTAAGTCAAAAAAATTAGCGGGGTGTGGTGGCACGTGCCTGTGGTTCCAGCCACTTGGAAGGCTGAGGTGGAAGGACCACCTGAGCCCAGCAGGTCGAGGCTGCAGTGGACGTGAGCGTGCCCCTGCACTCCAGCCTGGGCGGCAGAGTGAGACTCCGATTCACAAAAAAAAAAAAAATTACTGAGATTCTAGAAGCAACTGACCCCAGTCGCTTTAGTGGAGGAATAAAACCCTGTGAAAAGGGCAGGGGACTCCGAATATGAACCTGGAGGAAAGAACCCCCATAAGTTCTGGCCCTTCAATAAAGAGTGGCTTATGCCTGGAGTCCCAGCGCTTTGGGAGGCCCAAGCGAGAGAGCTGCCTGAGCCTAGGGGTAGGAGACCAGCCTGGGCAACTTGGTGAACCCCTGAGCTCAATCCTCTCACCTCTTCCTCCCAAAGTGCTGGGATTCCAGGCCTGAGCCATTGCGCCCAGCCCACCTTACATGCTTTAATAGCTAGCCTCTTTTTCCGTCTTCCTCACTCTCAGTTCCTAAGAAAGCTGAACTTCTCTAAGATGTGGCTTCTCCACTGGTGGAAAACAAACTGTAGAGAAATTTTCCTCACAAAGGACATCCCGATGTCTCAGTAAGCCAAGAACAGTCTGAGCGGGAATGAGAGAGGTGCCTAATGGGCACTAAAGAAACCTGCTCACACAGTCCCAACACTGGCCCGGGATGTGGTTCCATTACCACCAGAGGCAGACCCTCCCCTTTCACTAACAGTGAGTCTGCATCTTCTCTTTCTCCTGCCTTCTGGGTTCTGCAGTTCTTCCACCAAAAAGATACCACTCAGCAAGAAGAGGAGTAAAATCTGGTAAAAAATTGCCAACAGATGACGAAAACAACAGACTAAAGTAGAGCTAAAGAATTAGCTCTTCAAACCTAGTATATTTAATTAGAGTAAATATTAGAGTAAAGCCTTTCTTCTTAGGAATCCATTCGTTCAGCAAACACCTCCTGTGTGTGCGGTGCACTGTTTCAACTTTTAACCTTCCCAACAGCTTCATTAGGTGGGTGCTATCAGCTCCTTTTACAGAAGAAGAAACTCAGGCACAAAGACATTAACCTACTGTTTAAAGCTCACGCTGCTAGAAATGGCAGGGCTAGGATCACTACCCAGACAGTCTGCTCCAGAGCCCGCTCTGCTAAACTGCTCTTACCTGCCCCATTAGCCAGTTCCAGACTCTCAGTCTCTCATATCCCAAGAGACAGATGCCTCTCAGGACTGCCTCCTCCTTTTAATCCCCTGGTATGAGCCCTGGCTACCTCCTCTAGCCTGGACTAGGGCTGCAGCCCCAGAACTCACCGCCACACTTCCCACCATGCCTTCAGCCAGGGCAGCAACCTAGCTCCTGCTCCATCATGCCCTGGCACAGCTGCACTAGCCTCACCACTGCCCCAGAAGTTCATTCCACACAGCCCGTCCTTAGCTGAGCACATGAGTAGTTAACGTTCAGGGTCTAGAGGCAAGCAACTCAGAGCACCCTTCTAGGTGCTGTGGACCCTGGGTAAATCGCTTAACCTTCTCTGGCCTGTGAACTCCTCTGTAACGACCTCATCAACATGGGAATCAAAGGGGACATTTTCCATACTCAGCCCAGTGTCCAGACTATGGCATGCTAAGGTCTAGGTCAAAAACAACCGGCACACCACAGGACTGCCTCATACTCCCCATAAGAGGCAACTTCTGTGCACCAAGACTCCTGGCACTCCTCTAGCAGAGTTCAGCACTTTCCACCGTATTTGTGGGCAGGCACGGCTTCCCCATGGCCATCCACAGATTTCCCTAGGTCTGCATCTCCGTGAGCACAGACTCCATGTCCCAGAGCTCAGGGCATCCTCCATAACACGTGGCATAGCATCTTGCCCGTGGCATACAACCAATGAACATGGGTGAAGGTGAAAAAAGCCCACAAAGAGGCTGCAGTTCAGTTCCTGGAAGGAAAGGCTCTCGCCAGAGATGGCGGCCATATTTCAAGGCAAGCCCCTCTGCTTTTCCATCAGATTCAAGACTATCCCGCCCCAAACAGGCAGTGAAATACACAAGGAGCAAAGCTGCTAGAGAAGCAACAATTATTCCGGGGACGGGAGGAGGCAAAGGAGGCGAGGTTAAAAACCTCACACATGGTATAAAAGAAGTCCTTCTTTCCAGTCAAGGCTTACAAAAACCCTTGTCCATTGTGCCCTCTGTGGCCAGGATAGGGGACAGCATGAAGGGCATGAGCTTGTATGCCCAGTGAGCACCACTCATGTTACCTGGGATCATTTTGATAGCTGTGTTCACTTCACTCCATTTGTGTACCCGGTCAAACTTCCAGTCCAAGATAAAATTCCCATTATCTGTCACCACGGGACCCTAGAAGATAATTTTCCACAATGACCAAGGATGTAGATACTGATAGGCAGAGAAGGACAGACTGATAGGCAGAGAAGAAAGTGAAGGTGATAATCAAAGACAAATATCTACTTCAACCAGCTTCTGCTTTGTGCTTTCTCGAAGGTGTGCTGTGAAGTCAAAATGAGCAGGCTATTTGGAGTCAGAAAGACTTGGATGTGAGTCTCTTTTTGTTTTGTATCTGAGATAACACAGCCCCCGCCCCCTTTTTATTTGGAGCTGGAGTCTCACTCCATCGCCCCAGGTTGGAGTGCACACTCACGGGTACCCCAGCATCAACTGACTGGGCAAGGTGATCCTTCCACTTCAGCCTCCAACTAGCCGAAACTACAAGCACGCGCCACCATGCCGGCTAACTTCTTGATTTATCATAGAGACGAGGTCTCACCAAGTTGTCCAGGCTGTTCTCAATCCAGTGGGCTCAGGCAATCCTCTCACCTCGGCCTCCCAAAGTACTGGGATGACAGGCTATAGTCACCGCACCCAGCCAATGCAGGCCTCTTAACAGAAGCACTGAGCCACTGATTGTTATTTCCATGAGTTCCGCCTATGTGAACGTGTCGCATTCATGAGCACATTCCTTTCTGATTTTCAGTTCACTGTTCTTACTTCCTTAAGTCACCACTTGGCTAACAAGGAAAGGGGCAGGAAATAGAGCACAAAACACAGTAGGAATCCCAGCAGCAATGTGGCCTGCAGATAAGAACTCAAAGCTAAGTTCTAACAACTTCCCCACTACACACTGCATTTATTCCACATGCCAACAATGCGAACAGCTCTAAGAGCACGTCCGGTCACTAGGATCAGGGCTACAATATTTTTAATGCCATAAAAAAAAAAAAAAGAGGGAAATAAAATCAAAATCAAAATGTACATATCAAAATTAAAAGGGGTAGAGTTATAGATCTTTTCTTGACTATATCTTCCAAATTTTTAATTTACACATGAGACAGTTAGCTTTTGAATTTTTTTTTTCTCATTTAAGTGTAAGAGGGGAAAACAGTTCTGTGCAACCTACTTTAGAAGTTGAAGAGAAAAATGAATTATCAGGACTGTCTGGAGAGCATTCCTGGAGAAGCTCCTGAAGAAACTTTATTTCTTGTCATATTTAACCACAGAATACAAGAAAGGAGGAGGAAAAGAGAAAATACCACGAAACCTAAAAACGCTCTGTGCTGGGTACTGTGGCTCACACCTGTAATCCCAACACTTTGAAAGGCCAAGACAAGACTGCCTTAGCCCAGGCGTTCAAGATCAGGCTGGGCAACTTGGCAAGACCTCGTCTCTACAATAAATTTTTTTTTAAATTAGCAAGACGTGGTGGTGCACACCTATAGTTCCAGCCACTTGGAAGGCTAAGGCGAAAGAACAGGTCGAAGCTACAGTAGCCGTGAGCATGCCACTACAATCCAGCAGCCTGGGTGACAGAGTGAGATGACAGCAAGGGAGGAAGGGAGGAAAGAAGGGAGGAAGAAAAAGTTTTGCCTCAGCAAACTTCCCAAAGTCAGTGTTTAGCAGCTGAGGCCTCCCGGCACAAAAGTCAGATTACCTGAGGAATGTCAGACCTCAAGGGATAGATACTCATTCCATCATTGGTACAGAGGATATATACAAGGTATTTAGTATGATCTTGTCGCCTGGTGTGGTGGCTCACACCTATAATCCCAGCACTTTGGGAGGATGAGATGAGAGGACTGATTGAGCCCATGGGTTTGAGACCAGCCCAGACCTCATCTCCACAATAAATCAAAAAATTAGCCGGGTATGGGGGTGCGTGCCTGTAGTTCCAGCTACTCAGAAGGTTGAGGTGGAAGGATCACCTGAGCCCAGCAGGTCGAGGCTGTGGTGGCCGTGAGCATGCCACCGCCTTCCAGCCTAGGCAACAGAGTGAGATTCCAACTCAAAAAGCAAGCTGGGCTCGGTGGCTCAGCCTGTAATCCCGCACCTTTGGGAGGCTGAGGTGAGCAGATTGCCTGAGCCTGCGGGTTCAAGACCCACCTGGGCAACTTGGCGAGACCTCATCTCTACAATAAATCCAAAATCAGCCGGGCGTGGTAGCGCGTGCCTGTAGTTCCAGCTACTTGGAAGACTGAGGCGGAAGGATCGCTGGAGCCCAGCAGGTCGAGGCTGCGGTGGCCGGGAGCGGCCACTGCACTCCAGTCTGGGTGACAGAGTGAGACTCCAACTCAAAATAAATAAATAAATAAATAAATAAATAAAATAAGAAATAAGTATGGTCTTGTCTATATGAGCTTCAGTATAGTCACTAACATAAGGACAGACATAACTAAACCCAACTCTCTAAAAACAAACAAATACACCCATTAAGAATAAGTAAATAAAAGCCCGCTGCCCAGAAGGGAGGACACTGCACTGAAAACTGGAGTGCCCTCCAGGACACCCTGCCCACCCAGACCACTCACCGCCTTGCTGACGGCCATTCGGAGTTCCACCACACCCCCAAACTTCCGGCTCACAGCTCGGCTCACTGGGACATAGCCCATCGGGATGACCTCGATGGGGATTCCCTTGTGCCACTGATCCCCGAGGTTCTTTGAGTCTTTCCTGGAAGAAGTCAAAAAGCACAACAAAGGCACATAAGCTCAACGGTACAGACAAAAACCAAATTCAGGAAGGAGGCTTCTCAGATGGTGGGAGGGCAAGGAGAGCGATTGTGGCAGCGGACACCAGGCTTCGGGCATGTTGGCCGTCGTGCTGTTTAGGAGAAAAGGTATTTGAAGTAACTAGGACAAAAAGGTGAAAATCAGACATGGTTGGCCGGTGGGTGTATGGGTGTTTAATGTTTATGTTCTTCCTACAGCTATATTTCATGATAAACAAACAGGCATACATATATGTATCCGAAATGAACACACTGGGCACAAGTGCCTTCTGTCAGACCCACTGAGGAAAGTCTCAGTGCCTGGTCAGAGACTGTCCACAGCACGGGTCACATGGAACACCCTGACCTGGGAGGAAGCAAGGCTCGCTGAGTCACCACCCACAGCAGGACACACTCTGCCTCCTCTGAGGCGCCCCATGAGGCTCTGATGCGTGGCCCAGGAAGGCATGCTCTGCTGACAGGGTGACGAGCCGTTTCCTCCCCCTTGCACTAAAGCCACGAGATAGCCTCAATAGTGCTGACTCCGATCAAGAGGGGTGTGATCAGCCAGCACCCCGACCTTCAGCCTGGAAGCAGAGCACGAGTTCTCCTGGACACTGCCCCAAGTCCTAGCCACTAGCCTCAGAAAGTCAAGTCCATCCATCTCTCCACTTCCTCTTTCATAAAATGGAGGTGAGGCTTGGAGATCCAGCCTGCCCCCTCGATCGGCAGTTCAGACTGCTGGGAACTGTACCTGAAATCAGCAATCACAATGAAGCGTCTGGCAAAGCCAGCCACGATCTTCTCCTGGGTCAGGCAGCCTCTGTGGGTGAGAAAGCAGCAGATAAACAAAAAGCTGAATTTGGGAACTGGGTCAGATACAAGAACCCAAAACCCACTCAATCCTTGCACTTAAAGAAAAACTTAACTTTTAATTTTTAAAGGGACAGCCTCCGTTCCATCAAGCTGTTTCTAGTAAACGGAGTATAGAAACACTGGCCTGTGCCTGGGAGAAACCTAGAAAGCAAACAATGGTTCCCATTCAAGCCAGGCATAATCTCATCCAAGATGCATCTGAGAGAAAGCACTGTGCTGAGGGTGAAGTCATCTGGCCATGGCATGAATGGGAGGACTACAAGCTGAGGAGAGCAAGCTGGGCACAACCCACCCTATGGACTAGATGAAGGGTGATGGAGTGGAGAGAGCCCAGGACACTGAGTTAGCAGGTCTGGGTCCAGGCCTACCTCTAGTGGTTAGCAGCTAAATTATCTCACATCTGCAGCTGAGAGGATTAAACACCACATATAAAAATTTTATAAACAATAAAACATGATTTTAAACAAATGCTGCATCATTCAGTAGCTGGCTTGATGGCAAGATCCAGCAGAACAGGACTTTCACCATTCCCTACCCCCCAAATCAGCAGTGAGAAATGCCTAACTAATGTTTTCCAAATGAATGAATAATATCCATAACTGCTCACAGAAGTGAGCACAGCTTTAAAGCAAAGGTCACACACTGATGCCCACAGACCTGACAATCTAGCCCAATACTGAAACCAGCATTTTGGTTTGGCCTGGACGGTGTTTAAAGTGTGGATCAACAAAAGAACACAGATCCACTGAGAGCTCATTAAGATGAATGGCTCCACCAAAGAGGCCAGGTTCCTCATCACCAGACTGCTGCAAGGGCCAGAAAGGCTGAGCTGGCGCGAAGCCCACCTGCTACCACCATCCTAGTGGGCAGCTGACACTCTGTTCACTCTGTATCCATGCCGCTTTTGTCAAGGACTGGCTGGCAGATACCCTTCAGTCAGGAGTCCCCCCAGCACTCACCCTCCGCCCTTGATGAGATTGAGGTCGGCATCTACTTCATCAGCACCGTCAATGGCGAGGTCAATCTGTGCAGGGCGAGTGAAGACACAAAGCCACTCAGCACCTCTGGAGGTCTGTGCTAGGCCTGACTATGTGACCGCACCTCAGGGTCTTGTCAGTGCCAGCAGGTCCCATATTCCCACTTGATGCACGGAGACACAGAGGCTCCAAGAGGCCAGACTGAGCCACGAGGCAGAAGGGAAGCCCCCCAGGACCGCGAGTGCCACCCGTCAGCTCTGACCCAACCCAATATCCCTCTGCTCACTGACGGGCTTCTCTGTGGACAGCTGAATCACTTGGGGCAAGCGTTCTCAGTGTGGGTAACACCACCCCAGGAGGCAAACCCTGGTTCTTGGAGGGGGGCTGAAAACCCTTGCACATCAGAATGGCTTTTGGTCCTCCAAAGGGCCAGTACAGCCTATCTGTCCTATTAAATTCCATTGGGGGAAAAAAGAAACTGATTCAGAAATCTCTGTGCTAATTGTGGGTAAACGCACAGGCAATTTCATTTAGACCAAGTTCAAACAATAGTATGTATAAGAAGCTAAAGTGTTTCTGACTTGGAAATTATTTGAGGCATGCCCACGAAGACCTCACCTGTCTGGGCTTGCCCACTCCCTCTATGAGAAAGTTCCACCACCAGCCCCAGAAGCAATCCAAGGGCGAGTTAATCCGCCTTTCCAAAATTGTAATCAGGAAGTTAAATATTTCTCATTTGTGGAATTGCATGGACAAGGGAGGACCCTCCAGTAGATTTTTTAAAGCTGCAGTACGCAGAGCACAAGTTCTGCTCACGCTGAAGCTACTAGGCTGCTTGGCACGGCCGACGGGGCACAGGGGCGAGGTCCACAGAGTTTTACCCAGGGCATGCTCGCGTTCCTCCTTTCACAGACCCAGGCCAGTGGCAATTCTCGGGGGTATGCAAGGTGCAATCTTTCCTTTCTGGGCTCCAGGCCTACCTTCACCCCAAACCACTCTCCTCACCATCACTCAACAGAGGAAACCCCCCACACAGCCCTTTGACAGCTCGTCCCGGAGGCCCATGGTACCACGGCCACGGGAGCTACAGACCACCATCAAGTCCCACCCCAGCCTGGTCTCTGGGTGGTGAGACGTTACCCACGGTTCCAACCCAGCCTCGCTCACCTCTCCCCCTCCCCCACTACATGCCAGCACATTCCACTCCACCCTAGTCAGCCCAGCAGTCTGAGCAGTGTCCACATGCACCCACACGCACGCATGGAGCTGTTCCTGCGGCTCCCATCCACCCCATTCTGTCCTCCCCTGTCCCTGCCACTGCCACCTAGACTTTGCAGCTCAGCTCAACTCTGCCTGTTCCCGCGAACTCTTCTAGCTAGCACCGCCCTGGAGCCAGAAACACCCATGTTCACAATCTGGTTCCACACTCACGAGCAACGTGGTCTTGGGCAAACGACTGAACTTCTTTGTGCCTTTTCTACAACCATAGAATGGGAAAATTATGGCAGTTCCCCTCAAGAACACTGGAGATTACACAGTTTAGTGCAGGTGCAGCACACAGCACAAAACCTGGCAGGTAAGAGGGGCTCAGAAAGTGCCAGCCAGGATGCCGTGTGGTGCTGTCTGCTCTCAGCCACTTCGGTCTCCTCAGAGCTGCGTCTTACCACATGTGTGACAACGGTCTTACCACAAAATTTCATTGTAATCTGTCTTCAAGTGTCACTGCGGCCCTGGATGATTTCTTCTTTCCCCGCGAAGTGGTAAAGCTCCGCAGACCGGCTCATCTCGACCCCTCTGTGCAACGAGTTTGGGCCCAGCCTTCACTCGTCCACTTCCCCCCTACTGCATTCATGCAGGGAATGTACTGGAAACAACCCACCTCTCCACTTGGGACCTCAGTCAAGACTGACGCTTACAGTCCCAGGAGAAAAGTTAGCAGACTGACTGACCTTTTCCCTAGACCTGACAAGATATCCAGGACACAAACAAGGGACAACCACAAAAAAAGAGAACGGAAAGACACAGCCGTCTGACCCTTACCTCTGGGTGTCGATCCAGGTCACTGAGGGTTAAGCCATGCTGCAGGATGAGCTGGCGGGCCTGCGGAGGACAGGAAAGGCACTCTTGGTCATTCTGACCCTGGGCGCGTGGCAAGGATTCTCAGAGTTCTTTGGGATTTAACTATCTAACTCTGAGTCCTCACGAGGCTTGCTCCCGAATCCCAACCTATTCCACCAAGAGGTAGGACACCCAGCCTCGTGAACGGCAAAACTGCTAGCTCAACCTAGGAGCAGGAAAAAGGCAGACAGCACACAGTGAAGACTGCTCCAATCCCAAGTTCACAGCATTTCCTCAGGGACTTGCAGCTAGAGACAATGCCGTGGCTTCCTCAAGCTTCTGCCAACACCCGTGTTACAAAAATTCCTAAAATACAGACCCAATCCACAAAATACTAGAAACATTTTTAAAACAATCCAACAATATGAAAGAAGACTGAGGAAGAGCACTGTGAATTGACACGGAGTGGCTTCCAGGTCATACTGTTGGGTAGAATACACACAACTCAGAGGGGCTCCATAAGAATGCAAGAGACTCAGAGCGCCAGCCTAGGAGGGTCTGGGACGTTTGTGGAAAGGCCAGCACCATCTACCTTCTAGCCATGCCTCATTGCTAACCTTTTCAAAGGCTGACAAATAGGGGAGCGGTGGTTCCGGCCACACATAGGCAGCAGCTGGAATAAAGACACTCTGAATCTGTGCCTTTGGACACCCAAGTCCTAGGGAAGAGGGCTGTGTTCCTGTCACTGCTTACAGTATGCAGAGGAGCCAAAGGATGGAAAACTTATTGCAAAGGCGTGCCTTGAAAACATCTTCTGCTTAAAATGAAAAACACCCACAATTAAGAATCAGAAAGCCTAGGTTCTGATCTTAAATAAACCAGCCATGCAGCCTTTGGCAAATTTTCTCATCTATAAAAAGATGGGGACAAATGAAATGACCAAGGTCGACCCTCTCTAACAATAAACATAAAGACCCTGGAATTTGCACCATGGGGGCCTTACCTGGATCCTGATTCAAACAAGGATATTTTTATTTGAAATATTTACTACTTTATACGGTATGACAATAGGAAAAATTTGAACCTGGATTTTTATTTGATGTTATTAAGAATTATTGCTAATTTCTTTAGTATTGTTGTGATGTTTAAAAGATAGGCCCCCACCAGGCATGGGGTCTCACATCTGTAATCCCAGCACTTTGGGAGGCCCAGGTAGGATGATAGCTTGAGTCCAGGAATTTAAGGTCAGCCTGGCCAACACAGCAGGACCTCATCTCTACAAAAAATCAAAAAAGCAGCCAGGTGTAGTGGCACTCATCTACAGTCCCAGCTACTCGGAAGGCTGAGGCAGCAGGACCAGGACTTCTTGAGCCCAGAGTTTGAGGCTGCAGTGAGCAAAGATTGTGCCACTGTACTCCAGCAACATAGCAAGACCCCATCTCCACAAAAAAATAAAAAACTTAGTCAAGCATGGTGGCATTCTTCTAGACCTGGCTACTCGGGAGGCTCAGGTGGAAGGACTGCCTGAGCCCAGGAGGTCGTGGCTGTGATGAGCCATGATAGTGCCACTGCACTCCATCCAGCCTAGGTGACCGAGTGAGATCCCGACCAAAAAAAACAAAACAAAACTCTCCATTGTTCAGAGACATATGAAACGAAACATATACAGTGAAATGATCTTATGTCTGGAGAATTTGTTTCAAAATAACAAGGGTATGGATACTGAGGTACAGACGAAACAGGATTATCCATGAATTTATCATTGTTGAAATTAAGTGCTGGGTACATGGAAGTTCATTTTATTGACCTCTGCCTTTTTAAACTTTGTGATTTTCCATGGTAAAATGTTGGCCAAATAAGCAAATTAGTAAGATTTTGTTCTTATTAAAGAGAAATATTCAGCCTGGGCAACACAGTGAGACCTCATCTCTATAAAAAACACAAAACATTTGACATGTGTGGTGATGCATGCCTGTAGTCCCACCTACTCAGAAGTTGAGGCAAGAGAACTGCTTGAGCCCAGGAGTTGGAGGCTGCAGCGAGCCGTGACTATACCACTGCACTTGACTGTGGGCAACAGAGCGAGACCCTGATTCAAAAAAAAAAAAGAAAGGAGAGAACTATATACTGAAAGGGAAAATAACAACAAAAATAGTACTGCTACATTATTTTTTAATTCCTTTATTTCTCCAAAAGTAGCAGTAGAGTAACCATCCTAATTCCAGATGCTGAAGTTATAAAAATCACTGGGAAGACTAGCCGTTGGTGGCTCACGCCTATAACCCCAGAACTTTGGGAAGCTGAAGTGAGAGGACTGCCTGAGCCCTCGGGTTTAAGACCAGCCTGGGAAACTTGGCGAGACCTCATCTTGACACACAAAAAATCATTGGGAAGGTCTGGAAGGCAGCCTCCAAAATAACCCACAATAATCCTCCCCTCCTGATACTCATGTCTTTTAGGCATCCTTTCCCACATTGACCCAAGTTTGGTCTGTGTGACCAATGGCACACAGCAGAGGTGATGGAATGACACTTCTGGGATTAGTTTATAAAGAACCCTGTGAGGCCAAGCATGGTGGCTCATGCCTATAATCCCAGCACCTTTGGAGGCAGAGGCAGGAGATCGCTTACATAAACCCAAGAGGTTCAAGACCACCCTGGGCCACCTTGCCTCCACAAAAAATAAAAAAAATTAGCCGGGCATGGTGGCACAAACCTGTAATTCTAGCTACCAAGAAGGCTGGGTTGGGAGGATCACTTTAGCCCAGGAGGTTGAGGCTGCAGTGAACTGTGATCGCGTACCATTGCACTCCAGTCTGTCTGGGTGATGGAGTAAGACTCAAAACACACACACACACACACACACACACACACACACACACACAC